GACCTCCAAGGACCCCTCAATTGCAAGATTTGATGAAGATTTGCAAAACCCCCAATTTTGGATCCAATTTCGAATTTTAGGGTTTTTTCGAGTAGAAAAATTCAGATTCGAGAAGTTACAGGCCAAATTAGACAAAATGGTTTGGATATTATTGATCCTCGTCTCAAGACGAAGAGAATGACATTGGTCCCGCCGGAATCGGAAAAAGTTCATTTTCCGGCAACTTTGACCGGCGGGCGGCGGGGCGTGGAAGAAAAGAAAAGAAGAAATGGGGTCAAATTGAAAATTTTAAAATATATAAAATTCGAATTTGGCCCTAATGACCGGAAGTTAACCTAGAAACGGGCTAATGGCTCATTAGTGAAAGGATTGTGTAAGTTCAGGGATTTTTGTGAAAGGATTTGAAGTTCAGGTACTATTTCGAAATTCCAGCTAAAGTTCAGGTACCATTTGTGAAATTTACCCTGAGGAATAGAGAATCCCACATTGTCTTTCCTATGAATTGAGTTAACATTCTTTTACGCTTCTTATTGACCACTTGAGTTATGTCTTAGATATATGTATATTATAGATTTCATTTGTTGAATTTTAGGAAAAAATACATTTTCTTTCGGTTACTCCATACAAAGCTTTAGAAGTACATTTTCTATTAACTACTCCATATCGCGAGTCCTCCAAGGCTCTAAGGCACTGGTGGAGTTCTCTTATATTAAAGAACGGTGAGGTTCTACTGCCACTAGAGTACGGTGCCACTGGCAGAACCTCTGATGCTCCGTTCGCAAAATTGACGGTTCCTACCCCCCTAACCCACCCCTAAACCCCCCACCCTACCCCCACCCTTGCATCCCCACCCCAACTCCGCCGTAAGCCCCCCACAAAATGTGTACTATTATGCGTTCATAATAGCCACACATTTTGTGGGGGGCTTACGGTGAGGTTAGGGTGGGGGTGCAGGGGCGGGGGTAGGGGGTAGGAACCGTCAATTTTGCAAACGGAGCATCGAAGGTGCTCCAAAATGACAGTGGCACCGGAGTGGCACCGTACTCTAGTGGCAGTAGAACCTCACCGTTCTTTAATATAAGAGAACTCCACCAGTGCCTTAGAGCCTTGGAGGACTCGCGATATGGAGTAGTTAATAGAAAATGTACTTCTAAAGCTTTGTATGGAATAATTGAAAGAAAATGTATTTTTTCCTAAGATTCAGCAAATGAAATCTATAACATACATATATCTAGGACATAACTCAAGTGGTCAATAAGAAGCGTAAAAGAATGTTAACTCAATTCATAGGAAAGACAATGTGGGATTCTCTATTCCTCACTTGAGATTAGACTTTTATTTATCTCATGTTAGTAATTATCTAACCAAATCTGAAGGAACCCTAGGATGAAGTTCATCATTTATGCAACATATGACATATGTGTTGGTTAATGGTTAAGAAGTTCTCACTTGCATTCAATTTTAGTAGTTTTTTCAATTAAGTATTCCAAACTCCGTCCAAATCATACTCCATTCTTTAATTTCAAACTTTGTTCATGGGCTTCAGTGTAGGGGTAAAAAGGGTATCGTTTTTTGTGGCACTGAGACCCCAAACATGAGATTTGGAAATGCACCAAAATAAGAATTGTTGGTGCATTTCTGAAACCCCAAAACTCCGTTTTTGTAACCCTTGCGCGCACACACAAAAACGATAATCACACACCCTGACACCCCCAATATCGGGGCTTAAAAATATCTATGGGGTAAAACTAAGAGACCCTTCTAACTGCAAAATGCATTTCAAAAGACAAGCCATTTCATACTTGTTGTACATGACATGGAGAACAGCTCAAAAATGTTCTGTAAAAATTGTATACATCACTGTACAGCTTAATGAAGAAGACCCAATAGCCAAAAAGACATGAACTATACACAACTGCATGAACGGCATAACAATGTGTGAACCACGATGCATTAAATTTAAAATGGTAAACGTATCAATCTAACCGATAAGCCCAGCCATGTTTGTCCAAGAACGCCTGCACGGCTTCTTTTATAGCCAAATTGGGTGCTAACTGAGATGCATACAGTGCCTTGCCAGTAACTGGGTCAAATTTCCCCACCTAGCTTGTTCAAGAGAATAGAGGATCAATATATACCGACACTAAAAACCACAGAGTTTAAGAATTTTGTACTCAACCCTTGAAGAACCATTACCTTCTCCAAGTGTTCAAGAATCACAGCCCTCTCGTAAGTAACCCCACTGGGTGTTATCACAGGATCACGTAAAATGTCAAGTGTTATCTTACAACACAGGTAATCGGGCACCTGGAAATCCTTAGCGTAAGGTTGTCTATTGGTTTCAAGTCATGTGATAAGTTTGTGGTAAACCTCATGTCTTGAGAACTCTTTTGAGGTGAGATGGACCCGTTTTTTAAAAAAAATCCACACCACAAAAAAAACAACTCATCTTCTGCAAATAGTATATCCAAATGGGCAAGAATAGAAAGAAAATAGTAGTAAAATACTCACATCAAGGGGGGTATCATCTTCTGCAGCTTTCGCGAACACACTATTCAAAGCTTCGAGTTGTTTAGAAAAGGCTTCGTTCTTCTCATCTAAAAAACCTTCCATCTGTGAGAGGCCAAGTAAATGTTTCTCCTTTAGAGCCATCTCACAGGATTCTCTGAGGCACATAAGACGAAAAAGGATGTAGAGACAACTAACTTATAGTCAGATATAACATTTACAACTGAGATTAAGAGCACAATTAACTTCAGTTTATGGAGTTCAGAGGAACGCTTGGTAGACTCATATTCCCATTCCAAATATTTGGCTTTTGCTAGCTCTTGCCATATCTCTTCTACCATGTAACTCTTAGGATTAGCCCCTCTTCCAAGATCCAATGCCTAAAAACAATAAAGTGAGACAATTTGATGCATATGAGTAGAGGTGGCCACGGTACTGGTCCAGTCCAGTTCCGGAATTGCCGGTTCCTAGTGGGACGGAACCATGACCAGTACCAGTAGCGGGATTCTGCTTGGTTCCAGTTTTATTTTATTTGTTTTTTTTTTGGTTTCTAGACATTGTGAATCAACCTAGACAAATTGAGTATAAGTTTAAAAACAAAACAAAAAAAATTTAAAATGGAACCAAAATTGGAACAGCCCGAAACTTAGAACTCTAACCGGAACCCTTCCAGTCGGTTCCCATTTCTAGAACCCTCCCCACCGGTCCGGTTCCTGTTCCTGAACCCTGTCCACTCCGATATGAGAAACATTCAATGAAAATAATTCTGAGAAAGAGACACCCACAGTCCACTCCCCCTATTCACATTAGTTTCTACCACAATATTTTCAGTTATATGGGCACTAGTGTGTATTGAAACACAACACTTTTGTCATTTCACCTAAACACTTAGGGCCCGTTTGGTATCCGGAATTGACAGAATTGGAATTGAATTGGAATTGAGATTCCATGGGATTCAATTCCATAGAATTGAATTCTGTCAATTCCAATTTATTTTTTACACTATCAATTCCAAATCCACATAATTTTTGTGTTACCAAACACTAGAATTGGAATTGAAGTCCTCAATTCCAATTCCATAATTTGAATTCCATGTACCAAACGGGGCCTCAAGGATTTTTTCAATGAAGACAAGGGAGCACACACAATACTTTTTCGAGTTGTTTGACTCCTTCTGAATATGCTTGCTTCCGTAGCAAAGCAAGGCCTAGCATATAGTGTGCCTGTAATTCCAAAAGCCCCATTCATTAAAATTAGTACAAAAAGATTACTTTCCACAACCATTAACACATGCATGTAGAAAGAATGGATATTATCAGGTTCTTTTCTTCCTTTCACAAATGATAAACTTTATCATTTCCCTTTGTTATTAAACATGGATATGAACATCACAATTCACTTCAAAAATTTCAACCCACATACTTCTGATAATGGAAACTAAGCTATGGGAGATTCGAGACTACATTGATATTGGAAGATGTTCATTGTGTTCATCCATGTTTCTTTCTAGAATATTCTCTAATCTCTTCTTATATCATCCCCATTTCAGCTCGAGCTTGTTATGCCTGAATAAAACAAAGCAATGTTTCCTTAAAAGGAGTTTTTTTAATGAATCATATCACCTTTCCAAGCCTCTTACATGAAAAAGTAATGGATACTCCAAACAGAGTGTTTTTTATCCGAAAGGTACCACCTCTCCAATTTCTCTTTCGAAGCACAACAATTTTTTGAACATCCTTTCTTAGCTGGATAGTTAAAATGTCACTTCAGTGGTCAAGTGATCAATTTAGATGGGATAGTTAAATTGATTGACACCCAGTGCCTAAGAGAGTCAGAGAGACAAGTTTCGGAATCTTGGTACAGTCATTCAGGCAGATCACATATCGGGAGATAGACGGCGATATTGCCCTTTGTATAGGATCCTTTTTTACAAAGTAGAAGTTGGATTCAAGGGCCTTGTGTCATTAAAAAATTTCAACAAGGATGAAAGGAAAGTTTTATGGGGTCGTAGTCACTGTCATAATTTTTAGAACAGGACTGGTGAGCGAACCGGTAAAGGTACTGGTTCACTGTCGAACCAGTGTTTCAACGGGTCGAACCGGTGGTTAAACATATATATATGTATCAATGATTTTGTGTTTGACAAAATCTTTATACAATCTTTTTTTTTCGTTATATAATATGATATTTTAGTTTTTAAAATGAAAAGGAATCTTTATACAATATATTTTTTTAATTATGAAATATTTAAAAATATTAAGTGAACTTGTAACAAAAAGCACCCTAGCTTAGACGGTTAGAAACTTAACTAAATGTCTAGGAGATCTTGGGTTAACCCCCATGGTGGTAAGCTTTTAGAAAGAAAATCGTATAAAATTGAGAAAAAAAATTGGTCTAACCGGTTTGACTTGCTAGTTCTTACCAGTTCGAATTAGTTTGAAGGTGATTGTGGTCCAAAGGGCTAGACCGGACCGGTTGGACCACCAGTTTGCTGGTTCACGCTCTAAACCAGCTGGTCCGGTTTTTAAAACTCTTGTCACAGTAACTATATCCTGCACTCTATAGGGCAGAGTGTTGGGGGGGTTACGAAAGCCCATATTTGTCAAGTGAATGTGGCAAAGATGCGGATATGACGATAGATGTGTGGTCAAACAAGGGTATCTGAGCCTCTGAGTAAAAGTAGGAGTGGCAAACGTGGAGGATAAACTGCGGGAAGATATGTTGATGTGGTTTGGATACGTGAAGCAGTGTAGCGTTGAGGCTCTGGTGCAGAGGTGCAAGAGACTTAGGGGTAGTGGGCGGGTGTTTGGGAAGTAGTAGACCCTATGAAGAAAGAATTTGAGGGAGGTGATTAGACATGACGTAAGACTTCTAGCTCTTACCTTAGATAATGTCTAAAGATCAAGAACTACGATAGTTGGGTAGTCGTTTGGGCTTCGGTGTTATCTTTTGTGCTTGTTGTTGTGTGTTTCTTTGCCCTTTGTTTGCGTTTTTGCTTCCTTGTCGTGCTTTGGCCACTTGGAAACAACCTCTGTTCTTTCTAGTAGAGTAGTAGGGGTAAGGTCTGCGTACACACTCTCCCAAACCCTACTTTTGTGGGATTCTACAAGGTTGTTGTTTTCGATAGCTTGGATAGTTACATGTACATTGATCAAAGTTAAAGCCAAATGTGTTGTAACAAGTTAAACCTTAGAAAAGATAAGATTTTGAGCTGTCCTAAGGTCCTAAAGAGGAACCTTTTAGATTTCAAACTAGAGAGCATATTTTATGTACCCAACATAAGAAAAGCATATCTTCTTTCTTCCAAATAAAAAAACAGCAGAGACTTTCAATGAAAGGATTGGTATACATTAAGCATGGTGCACCATGGAGGAACAAAGAATAGAGAATCTGATTGAAACATAACTAGCAAACGCACCTTAAACGAATTGCAATCAAGCTGAATTGCTCTCCTGCAATCCTCTTCCAATCTTGTCCAATCACTATAGGGAAGCAAGCAAGTACACAGTGCATAATAGTAATAAGTAATCCCAGGGAAAAAGGACTAAAGTATGAGTAAAACATTGAAAATATATCAAAATAGTAGTTCCATCACATTCCGTAAAATGCACACGTACAGTGCCACATTAACATATTAAAAACTTTTATTTAGGGAATAAAAACATGTCACTCTTATCTTGGTATTTTTTAAGAACACATTTGAAATTTGAAACTAATAAGAGAAAAAGAGAAGAGCTCACTTGCGCTTGAGATGGCACAAAGCACGATTAGACCAATATACAGGAACATTAGGGCACAAGGTAATCGCCTGGAAGGAGAAATCTTGCATCGAATTCAGTTCTTGAGGAAGTAATCGGAGCGAAATACAGCACGTTGAATGAATAATACCTCGGTATAGGCATCGATTGCGGCGCCAAATCGGCTTTTCTGGAAGTAACTGTTTCCGTCTTGCCTCAGCTGCTCCGCCTGTTTGATCGCCGCCGCCGTGGCAGCCCCGCAAGGTGACATTTCCAATCGGAGATACTGCCTAGAGAAGCCTTTATCAGTTGTCAACTCTCTCTCTCGGTCTCCGTGTCCTCTATTTGAAAGAGAAAGATTGAAAAGCTGCGAGAAAAAATGTACTGCGTATAATGAATGAATATTATAAGGGAATTTTTTATTTAGTTTATAAATTGAAAGGCTTTTTTTATGGAAATTTTAAAATTTAATGTCTTGATTAAAGTGCTAAAAATTGTTAAAAAATTAAAGTGCTAAAAATTACTTGATTAAATTATCACTCTAATAAATATGTAAAAAAAAGTTCATTTGTGTCTATGTTTGAGTTTATGTTATAAATTTGAATATATAGTACTCTCTCCGTCCCTAAATAAATTTCTCCTTTCGTTTTTTCTTTGTTCTCAAATAAACTTCTTTTTTCCCTTAAAAAATCTCTTTTACCCCTTACTTTTTCATACTTTATCAATCACATCATACTTTTTTTATTAATAATCTATATATCACACATTACTTTTACACATTACATCAAGAATATTTTTAAAAAGTCAACACAAAAATATCCCTCCCTTAAATCTTCAAAAAGTCAAAAAAGGAAGTTTATTTATGGACAGAAGGAGTATTATTTTATATTCAACATATATAAATAGCTTTTGTAAGCCGTGGCTAGAATCAAATAAAAGAAATTTGAGGAAACTAGAAGAAGTTGAAATAAACTGGAAAGAGATGAAAAAAAATTAAAATTTAACTTTTCCAACCTAAAAGAACATGACCTATGTTGAATTTTTTATTTTTATAAATATTAATAAATAAAGTCATTCTTAAAAACATGACATTTTACACACTATTTAAAATAAATTTTGGATGTCATTGTAGTGATCCATCCATGGGGGCTTAAGTTGAATATTACGAAAACTAAGTTATTTTGGTCTTCTTATAATGGTAGAAAATCCCATTTGTAATTATTCCCTTTCGACATCGAGAGGCCCATATATAGGTGTGTGCATTATTCGGTCCGAACCCAGACTGACCCGAAACCCGGCCAAAACCGGACCGGACCGGTCCTTATTCGGTCCGGTCTTCGGTCCTCACATTTTTCTTATTCGGGTTCCGGTCCGGTCCGGTCCACCGGGTTTCGGTCCGGACGGGTGGACCGGTTACATTTTATTTTTTAAAAAAATAATATTTGTTTTTTATATAGTTTTCTAATATAGTTTTAAAGTTTTTTTCTTATTCTTAAAATTAATTTAACTTTAATACTAAAAGTTTTTAAAATATTTTGATTTTATTATTTAATATAATTTTTTTTTATATATTCAAATTCAAAATAAGATATTAATTCTAATGATATTTAAATATTTTTAACATGAAAAGTATGAAAAAGTAAACATTATCTTTACATAAGCGATATAATGCATTTCAAATTAATGTATCAATACTATAACTTAAGTTTGTATTTTATCAATAATAAAACTCCAATCAACAAAAAAAATTGTAAACAATCTTATGAACAAAAGCAGTAAAAAAAATGTATCCGTCTATCAAAAAACCAAAAACACAAAAAAAATATTACAAAAAAGTAAAAACACAGTAAGAAGAAGAATATTTTATATGTAAAATAAAAATTACAAACAAATTTTATGTAATATGGATGAAGGATATATATTTTATCTAAAGTTTAAAAAAAATAAAAACATCAATGTTTGAAAATGTTTAGTGTATGTTACACATGAAAAATTAATTATAGTAATATTTTTTTACAATTGAAAACTTTAAATTAAATAAATAAAACCAAATTTAAAAAAAATAAAAAAAAAATTACATTTATTCGGTCCGGTCCGGTTTTACCGATCCGGTCCCGGGCCGTTCCTTACCTTAAGCGGTCCGGTCCTCGGTCCACAAAGTTCCTCTTATTCGGTCCCGGTCCAGTCCCGGTCCGGTCCGGTCCGAGTTTGACCCGATGAACACCCCTAGGCCCATATTGGGGATGAAGCTTCTTGGTAGGGCCGTTAGTTAATAGACTACTCGGACAAATTTGAAAAAACTAAATCTATAAAAGAAATGAAAAATAATAGATTGGCCCAGCAGACCATTTTATGGGCCACTAGCTCTACTTTGTTTGGGTCAATAATAGATTGGCCCATTAAATGAATCAATTATAATTGGGCCTTGTCAAATATGGAGTTTTTTTTTAAATAGGCCATACTTCAATTTTTTTTAAAGCTACTCGCATTAGAAGGTCTACCAAATGGATTACCACATGTTTGGTGAGCTAAGGAGATCATCTTGATATCTTTCAATATAAAAAAGAAATATTTGCACTAAATAGAACTAAAACTTAAGTCATTTCTCTAAATAGCACTTAAATTATTTTCTTCCCTAAATAGCACCTAATAATGTCCATAATGTCCAGTGATGACAAATAATTACTTGAATAATGACTAATGCATAATGACTAAAAGTGCTACATTGGGAAGAAAAACACATGTGATGCTATTTAGTGAAAGTCATTATGTTTTAGTGCTATTTAAGTAAATTTCCCTATAAAAAATTAGTATTTTGAGAAATGTAAAAAAGAACTATGTTTTGATATCTTGAATATCACAATTTTTCTAAATGAAGATATGAGTGTCTCCCGAATTTGGGAAATACCTATATGAGGGTTCCATATCCTCCTCAACTGTCCAGCACATTTCGCCGCTGGCTACCACTACCAATCACCACGTAGGCGATCACTTCGCCTATCAATAATTAAAGCATAATTTCAAATCTTGGAATTCATACTTCTCCTATATTTAAAATTTGCATCATATCATACTTTGAAAAACCCCCCAAATAGACCTTAATTAGTTTTCTCCACATTAAATTTTGTGAATTGTGACCCAACAAAAAACTCCTCATTAAACAAGATAAATGACCTTTTCTTATTTCTCTCCTCCATATTAGATTTCATGGCAACTGAAGAAATGTGTAATATTATTTCTGAATGAATACAAGAGTTCCACCTCCCGTATATATATAGATGGAGGGTTACATGAATAAGGTAAGTTATTAATGTAGAGAAACTATACAAGCCAACTTAGCATACATATACAATATAATATTAAATATGTAAATATTTAACATGCTTCCGGCTACGTCGGTGAAGGGCGTATCCCAAGATTTTGCCGGAAATCAGAAAAGAGAAGTGTTGGGAGTCCTTTCGTGAAGATGTCAGCGAACTGTGATGAGGAGGGAACATGAAGAACTCGAACTTGGCCCAGCGCGACTTTATCTCTAACAAAGTGGATATCGACCTCAATGTGCTTTGTGCGCTGGTGCTGGACTGGGTTGGATGACAGATAGACAGCACTGATGTTATCACAGAACACGAGCGTGGCCCGACAAAGGGGTAGTTGTAGCTCTAGTAGTAGATTTCGGATCCAACTAGTTTCAGCAACGACATTGGCGATTGCTCTATATTCGGCTTCGGCGCTCGAGCGTGAGGTGGTAGCCTGTCGCTTTGAGGACCATGATACAAGATTATCGCCAAGGAAGATACAATAACCTGAAGTAGAGCGCCTGGTGTCGGGGCAGCCAGCCCAATCCGCAACTGAATAGGCCTGAAGACAGTCAGTGGATGACCGGGAGAGTGTGATTCCATGAGTGACTGTACCATGGAGATAGCGGAGGACTCGCTTTAAAGCAGTGAGGTGTCCCGTCCGTGGGCAATGGAGGTAAAGACAAAGCTGCTGCACAGCATATGTAAGATTGGGACGAGTAAATGTGAGGTACTGTAGGGCTCCAACAATGGACCGGTAAAGAGAAGGGTCCTCCACTGGGTCGCCGGTGTTGGCAGAGAGCTTCCCTTTGGTATCAACTGGTGTCGAGACGGGCTTACAAGAGACCATACCTGCACGTTCTAGAATTTCATGAGCAAACTGAGTTTGATGTAAGAAGAGGCCTCCTGCGGTACGCTGAACATTGATGCCCAAAAAGAAATTAAGCTCCCCCATGTCACTCATGGCAAACTCCCCTTTCAACCTTTGTGTAATCCTGTGGAGCAAGTTATTGGTAGATGCAGTGAGAATGATGTCATCAACATAAAGGAGAAGATAAGCCCTGTCTTGGCCATGAGAGTAAACAAAGAGTGAGCTATCGGTCTTGCACCCATGAAATCCAATCAGCTTGAGAAAGCCGCCAAAGCGCAAATACTAAGAATGGGGCGCCTGTTTTAAACCATAGAGAGCTTTCTTGAGTCGACAAACATGATGTGGGCGAGAGGGATCCTGAAATCCAGATGGCTGACTGGCATAAACCGTTTCCTGTAAATGTCCATGAAGAAAAGCATTTTTCACATCCAACTGATGAATGGGCCATCCACGTGAGAGTGCTATGCTGAGGACAATGCGAATGGTGGCAGGCTTGATGACAGGACTGAAGGTCTCGCCGTAGTCGACACCAAAACGTTGGTTGAACCCTCGGACAACCCAGCGAACTTTGTACCTGGACAGATCACCTGTAGGGCCAAATTTGTGACGAGAAAGCCATTTTCGAGATATAATATTTTGGTTAGGGGAGGGTGGCACTAGTTCCCATGTGTTATTCTTTATCAAAGCATTAAATTCATCACACATTGCATTATACCAATTGGGGTCCTTGAGTGCACTACGGTAGGTTGGGGGAGGGGGGAAATTTGGGCTGTAGTGTGGAGGTTTAAAATCTGTCTCGAACGGGTGATACCGGATTTTGATCGGGTGGTCATATGGTGGGTATTTTGAGGGAGGTCGGCAGGAGGGTTCTCGATTTGGGTTTGGGAGGAGTGGTCTGGGAGTGGTTGAGCTGCGGTGGTGGTTTGGGCCGGGAGTGATTGGCCTTGGGTGGTGGTTAGGTTTGGGTGGAGAGTGGGTTGGGAGGGATGTGGTTGAGAGACGAGGGGGCAGTTGGGCTGGGTTGTATGTGGGCTGGGTTGTATGTGGGCTAGATTGCGGGTGTGTAGGTATGGTAGATAGGGATGGGTGGTGGTGATAAGGGATGGAGTCCTCCATGGAGTCAAGGAATCGGAACTCTTCAGGTGTGGGCGAGTGGGTGAATGGAAAGGTAGACTCATCGAAAATGACATGGCGGGAGATGATTATCTTATGCGTGGCAAGGTCGAGACATCGATAGCCACGTTGATTGGTAGGATAACCCAAGAAGATGCAGCGAGCGGGGGGATAACTTGTGAGGTGCAGTGGCAGAGGTGTTGGGATAACACAGACATCCGAAGACACGAAGATGAGAGTAATCTGGGAAAGATCCAAACAATACTTCATGTGGGGTAAGGTTTTTAAGTGTGGTGGTGGGCAGGAGGTTGAAGAGATAGCAGGCCATATTTAAAGCCTCGACCCAATAGGAGGGATGAAGTTGGGCTTGGAAGAGGAGGGTACGGACCGTGTTATTGATGGTACGGATGGTGCGCTCAGCTCGCCCGTTCTGTTGACTTGTGTGAGGGCAAGAAAAACGGAACAAAATACCAAGCGAGCTAAAAATGTTTTGCAGCGGGGAGTTTCGATATTCTGTCTCGTTGTCACATTGTACTGCTTTAATTGTAGTATTAAATTGATTTTTCACATAGGCAATAAAGTTGGTGAGATGGGAGAAAGCATCAGACTTATGACGTAAAGGAAACACCCACAAATAATGTGAAAAATCATCCAACAGAAGCATATACCATTTAAAACCAGTAACACTAAGAACAGGAGATTGCCATAGATCTGTATGTAATAATTGAAAAGGAAACATGAAAACACGACTAGACGCAGTAAAGGGAAGGCGAACATGTTTGCCTAATTGACACGCATGACATAAAGAGTGCATAAATTGTTTATTAAATAAATTGGAAAGACTGGGGACTCCATGAAGGACTGCAGGACTGGGGTGTCCCAGACGACGATGCCAAGTTTCGGCAACAGAGGCAACGTGGACCTAGGCGGCTGGATCTGGGGGCGCAAAGGATAGAGTGGGCCGTCATTATTGGACCGATAGATCACGATTCCCGTCCGAGGATCCTTCACAGAAAAACCATGTGAGTCAAATTCAGCGGTGCAATTATTATCACGGGTGAATTGTTTAACGGAAATAAGGTTATGAGTAATGTGGGGTGATATGAGGACATTGTTGAGGGAGAGGGGTGGGGAGGTGGAAAAGATGTGAGTGCCAGTTGGCGTAGTGCGAACTTTAGAACCACTACCAACAGTAATAAATGTGGGAGAATTTAAAGTTTGAGAATTAACATGAGAAATAGTACCTGAGTCAGAAGCTATGTGATGTGATGCCCCGGTGTCCATGAACCACGTGGGTTCATGGAGAGTCAAGGTATCGAATTGGTGAGTGAGGGCTCTTGGGGTTTGGGTGTGGGGGCTGTTCGGGTTGAAGGTAGCAGTGGGCTGGGGTGGGGCGTTTGGGTAAGGGGCTGGGGGGTAAGGGCTGTACGGGTAGTGGGCTTGGGGGGAGTTTGGGTAATGGGCTGGAAGGGAATTTGGGTAGGAATAAGAGGTGAGGTTCGGGTAAGAGGTGGAGGTGTAATGGGCTTGGGGGTATGGGCCAGGGTTTGGGCGCGGGCCTAAAAGACCCGGCCCGGTATGAGGAGGGGTAATTTACGTAAATAGACCTAAAACATAATGACTTTCTCAATATAGGACCATATGTGTTTTATTTCTCAATTTAGGACCATTGGTCATTATATATTAGTCATTATTCAACTAAATGTCCAACATTACTTGGATATTATTCTTCTCACTAGTCATTATTAAATCCTATTTAGAGAATAAAAAAGTTTAAGTCCTATATTAATGATTATTAGAATAGCATTGGTCATAGTTTTTCCAATTATATTAAAATATATAACTGTTTTAAACTATATAATTTTTATTTTTCATTTCTACACTAATATTTTAATAAATTACCGTTAATATATATAATGATACACACACACACACACACACTTTATTATCATATAATTCAAATGTCTAATATTTTTTATATTTATATATACCGTTGCCCATATATATTAATAAATTACAAATATATAAATATTATTTTTCTTAATTTACTTTTAATTTTACATCATCATGCATTATATATATCTGTGTGAACCTTTCTATGTATTCTTAATATTGGGAATAATAATGGTTTGATATTATAAGCAATAATCATTATCTAGCAATACATTATTACTACTCAAGTTTATAGATATAAAGTTCATTATAATAATACCTACAACGACACTCAACATTATAAAACACAAATGGAAGTTAGTTTTTATCAAATGGAGTATAATTCTAGTGTAATTGAGGTTCAAATTCTCTATGAGCGGAGAGAATATTTTTAAAAATGTTAGAGATATACTAAAAAGTGTACCGAGTATGTCTCAACTCTCAGCCACACAATGTTAGTCTGGATAAAAAAATTGATGAAAATTGTTGGTGTACAAATTCAATATACTACTCTCTCCGTCCCACTGTCTTTGTCCATTTACCTTTTGGCACACCATCCAATGCACTTCTTTAATTCATTTTATCTTGTAATTTGTATATTAAAAAATTATAGAAATTATATATTAATAATCTATATGTTAAGAAAAATTAAACAAGATCACACATGACTATATTTAGGCTTACACATTGAGAGAATTTGATGAGTCAAAGTGCTTAAATGAACAGTTCCAAAAGTCAAAAGTGGACAAAGACAGTGGGACGGTGGTAGTATTTGGTTACCCTTAGCATATCTTAGAACAATATTTTTTAAAACACTTAATAAGTTACACCAAAATGTACCTTAATTTGTTCCCCAACCCTATATTCACCACAATTTTTTATTTGAGTATTTGAATTAAAATGTTGACAAAAGTTTTATGATTAAATGAATACTAGAGTCAACCTCGTGTATAACCCAGTGTACTCTTAGGTCTCATATTTTTTTACTAGAGTGGTGATTTCTTATATATAATTTGAAATATTTGCACTAAATAGCACTAAAACTTAAGTCATTTCTCTAAATAGCACTTAAACAGTTTTATTCCCTAAATAGCACTTAATAATGTCCATAATGTCCTGTGATGGCGAATAGTTACTTGAATAATGACTAATGCATAATGACTAAAAGTGCTACATTGGAAAGAAAAACACATGTGGTGCTATTCAGAGAAAGTCATTATGTTTTAGTGCTATTTAAGTAAATTCCTCATATAATTTATACACTTCATTGTTGAACTTTGTCACAAAAATTGTGAGATTTAGAAGCTAATGTAAAAAATGCCAATTTCTTCCAAATTAATGTCTCTAATCTTTATACTATTCTAAATTCCTTATTCTAACCCTTTAATTTTAATTATAATCTTAATTCTAATCCTAATTCTAATACTAATGGATCCACATCAACATCCTATATATAATTGGAATAGTAATTTACCGTTTTACCAAGAGCTAAAAATTTCCGACACGTGGAAGTTTCGCATTGGTTCTAGTTCAAGTTAATTCAACACGTCCCAGACAACTTCTACACCACGGGTCCCACACAAGCCCCACCTTCCAAAATCTCAACCGTCCGTCTTCCCTATAAAATCTCCCTCTCCATCAGTGATAATAGCCCACCTCCCCCTCCGCCGGCCGGCCAATCTCCGTCGCATTTAACAATGTCCCCCTCCTCTCTTTTCCTCGCCGCCCTCCTCCTTCTACTCGCCGGATCTCTGTTAATCTCACCGGCACTCTCGCAGAGCTGCACCTCCCCAAAGCCGGCGAGCCGCTACGCCCGCTGCACGGAGCTCCCAGCCCTCAATGCAACCCTCCACTACACCGCCGCCAACTCCTCGTTCTCCTTCTTCTTCGCTGCAAAGCCAGTAAGCGACGGCGGGTGGGTCGCCTTGGGCGTCAACCCCTCCGGCAACGGCATGGCCGGCGCGTTTGCCTTACTCGCCCACAAAGATCCGTCCGGGAATACCACCGCAAAACCATACAATCTCACCTTCAATTCCAAAAGAACCATAACCCAGCAGAGCATGCCTTGGCCCGTCGCGAACCTCACCGCCAGCGACTCCGGCGGCGTAATCACGATCTCCGCCGCGATTAAAGATCTGCCGAAGAGCATGACCCGGAAATTGAACCTTCTCTGGCAGGCGGGCCCGGTTGAATCCCAGTCCCAGATGCCGCTGATGCATTCCCCTGATTCGGCCCAAAGTTCTAAACTTACATTGGAGTTGAGCACCGGAAAGGGCGCGGCTCCGGCTGCTTCGCCGGCCGCCGCTCCAACCAGTGGGAACGGGAATAACAGCACCATACCGACATCCCCTGCGTCGGTGCAGAGCCCCACCGGGACTGACGCCGGCGGCTCCTCCGCGAACCGGATGGCCAATTCGATTCTACACGCATTATTGGTTTCGGTTGCGGGACTTTTAGCGATTTGATTGGTTTAATTAGAATCAAATAAAGTGCCGTCTGATTTTGATCAATTATGACTTTTTGTACTCGCATTGTTTTACTTAATTACTCCGGGCTAATTTCAACTTTATCACATGATTCTCTCCTCTCTCTTTGTTGAACGTAGTAAATTTGGGCAATGCTACGTTCACAAACATAAGGATCACAAACTTTAAATTTATTATTTATGGTTTAAATTCTAATTTTAAAATTATTTTAGATTATATAATTTTATTTATTGAGGTTCACAAATGGTAAGTTTATAAAGTTTGAGTTTGTGAACCAAGTATTTCCCAGTAAATTTCTCTATTTTTCTTTTCTTATTATGTTCAATTTTTTTTAGAACACTTATTATGTTCAATTGGTTTGGTCAAATTGGAAAGTTAATTTTAAGACGGAGGGAATATAACATTTGAAAAAATTGATACTTATTTGTCCATATTTACTCTTTCTGGTCAAAATAATTTTATTTAATTATAGGTTTATAAATTGAAAATGGTTAACTAGAAAAATGAAAATTAGATAAATACCTTAAGATGAAGGTAATAGTTCATATTTATTTAATCTCGGCTCAATCTGAACCCATCATTCACCTTCTTCATTGCGCCCCTAAAATTTTTAGTTGACTTTATGATTCAATTTTATTCGCATTGAACCCCTCTAATGCATAATATACTCAAAACTTCACCAATCTCATAAGTTTTTACACACTCCCGGCATATATGTTTTTAATTACTACTTTTGAGTATTCTTATATATTCAAAATATTTGTCTTGTTTTAATTTTTTGTAGAAAAAATTTAAAAAATATGACTAATTAAAAAAATGATATTAGAATATCGATACAAAAATATAATTTTATTAGATTTATTTTATACAATATTTTGAAATAATTTTATCTAATTAATATATCATATAGTATGTTGGAAATGAAAGGATCAAATTGTATTAACTAGCTCAAATTGTGTATTACATGGTTAAGTCTTATATATAGAAAATGAAAAACAAGTAACAACGAAAAATATCTTCTTAACAAACTAACAAACTATGTAACTAATCAACTAAACAAGATAAATGGTGGTTTACACCAACACCCCCCCTCAAGTTGAAGGTGGGAACAACTTCAACTTGCAACTGAAAAAAAATCCTTTGTGCTGCATTGTGTATGAAGATCCTCTTAAGTCTTGATCGTGCATAAACAACTTGCAGCATCCTAAACCAACATGTAGACTTAGCTCCATTCTCTTCCAAAGTTATGCCAAACGTCTCAAGCGCCCCATCATGATATCAGTGTCGAAGAGAGTCAACTTTGAGATCTTTGAACTTGGACTTGCTAGAGACAAGCTGCAGAACAGCGGAGGCACAACTCAAAATCTGAAGACCCTTGATTCTGAAACTGAGAGGCACAACTCTCTGTTGAATGGGAAAATAATGCTTTTGATTGTAGACAACATCACTCCCAGGTTCAGAGATGAAATAAGAAGATGAGAGGTGATAAAAAAACAGCAATGTCCTAGTGATGGCAGCCATGGTTCCCCGAACGAACAGAGAAGGAAACCATAGACAACCGATGATGAAGATGAGATGAAAAATCAATTGATGAACTCAAACGAAAACATCAAATGATGAAATGAAATCAATTGACAAAAACAATTGATGAAATCAACCGAAAACCGGATGATGATGATGATGAGAGTGAAACTCGATCAAAACGATTCAAGTGAAACTCGATCAAAACGATACGAGTGAAACTCAATCAAACCGATTGAGTGAAATTGATCAAAATGAAACTTCTGAATTTACAGAAGTGAAAGAATGACTGAAACTAAACATTCCAATCATGAGAATGAAAATGAAGTTGGATACTCAATTTGAGAACCAACACAATGAACAGAGGATCAATATGGATCAAGTGTGATGAAACCTGATTTGGAGAGATTAATAGACAGATAGGCGTTGGGAAATACAGAGGCAGATGCAGGAGATAGTCCATCAGTAAGCCCTGCAAGTGCCGATGATGTTGGTGAGGCATCGGTTGCCGGCGAGAGTCTGGATCTTAGTACCAGACGCCAACCTCCGAAGGAATTCGAGCGGATAGAGTCCAGGAACAGAGTGCTCGTGTAGAAGCAGCCGCAGAACGCACGAGCGGCATGTGAGAATCGATGAATCGGGCAGGGCGAAGATGGTGATCGGAGCGCCGGTTGAGAGATTAGCGCTAGCGGTGGTAGAGGACAGTTCCTCGAAACCTAGAGCATGCAGAATGTTCGCGAAGACTGGAGGCGCATAAAGTTGAGCGTCGTACGAGTACTGCTCCGGCGACGGTGCGAACGCCGGAGATAACGATGAATCTGAACGGGAAACGGAGTCCGTCGTAGCTCCGGATATGAACAGCAAGATGAGAATGAGTAAGACGAGGAGAATCTGCAGTTGCAGAGCACCGGCGGCCATGGCGGTTCTTCTAGAGAGAGAAAGAGAAGCTTCGCGTGATTGATTGAGAGAAATCAGAGAATGATGAATGTGCAGAGTTTCCGCCATGAAAGCAAGAGAGAAATTGAAGATAATGAGCCGATTGGGTGGAGCTAAACCAACCGCTTTGATACCATGTTGGAAATGAAAGGATCAAATTGTATTAACTAGCTCAAATTGTGTATTACATGGTTAAGTCTTATATATAGAAAATGAAAAACAAGTAACAACGAAAAATATCTTCTTAACAAACTAACAAACTATGTAACTAATCAACTAAACAAGATAAATGGTGGTTTACACCAACATAGTATTTATTTAATTATTAATTAAAATTTTAAACGGGATGACTCACTAGTACAAAAATGACTTTTTAAATCGGTTATTTGGACCTTTTTAAATCGGTTTCCAACCGATGCAAAAGCCAGCGATGCAAATACTCTGATACGTTTTGCATCGGTTGCTAAAACCGATGCAAAAACCCTTTAAAAAAATTACCGCCAGTTCTGAAAGTTGGCTTTTTGCATCGGTTATTACTAAATAACTGATTCAAATGCCCCTACCCAGAAATGGCGCCATATTTGGGTAGGGGCTTTTGAATCGGTTATTTGTTATAACCGATTCAATAGCTAATCTTTTGAATCGGTTAGCTTTTGAGGTGGACGAAGGCGGCGCAATTAGACCAGATTTGGGGGCGACATGGGAAAGGCGACAGCGTGGTGTGGAGTTGAAGACGACGGAGAGCACGGCGAAGACGAAGAACGGAATTGGAGGTTTTTTTTTTCAAAAACGCGAAGGATAAGGTAGGGTTGGCTAATTTTATCACACTCTTTTGGATCGGTTATTACTAATAACCGATTCAAAAGGTATTTAAATCGGTTATCCGTAATAACCGATCCAAATGATGGTCAGCTTTTAAATCGGTTATCCGTGATAACCGATTCAAATACTTTTTGCATCGGTTATTACGGATAACCGATCCAAAAGCTAAGCGATACGCGAATTTTTTTTTGCATTTACATCGTTTGTTTAGCTTAACGATGCAAATGAGGCGATTTATTTGGTCATTTTTGTACTAGTGACTTTAGAAGTTAAAACATGATAAATACTCTAGAAGAGAGAGAATGTTTGTTTGATAAAGTACTTTTTGAGATATCGTGTGGGTTTAGATCTGAGTAAGTAAATAGATCAAACAAACAAACACATTAAGAAGATGTTACAGCACTAATCACAAATATTGATGATTGTCAAAGTGTCATATCATCTTTTCTGTTACAATTTACAAGCACACACCCAAATAGTATAAAGTAATATGAAACAACACAGAAAAGTTATTTATGCAGTTCATAATGAATTCTTTTGTGTATGCACGGCCCAGTTTCGTGTAATAGCCTTCACTAAATCTAAAAGATTACATCAATCAATAAGAATATAAGGTCTTCTAGTGTAGGTCCAAGGTTTCTAGGAGGAACTTAACCAAGCTTAAAGCCAAAGTTATAATGAAAAAACTTTGTGCCGGAGATGGAGTAACGGCGGCTTAGCTGGCCAATCGAGAAGACGGTTTCCATACCACATAGAAGGTAGAGTAAGCTAATGAAAAAAACAATTTACTTTTTCGTCCAAAATATTAAAGGTTTCAATCTTATCCGACGAGATTCTAATTCACAAATGTATTTCGGTAAGCGTTTCACAGTTTGACAAGCGAAGGAGTGCCAAGGGATAATACCCGAATTTAATTTCTGACAACCGCGTTCGAAAACAAGTATGTTAAGCATATCGCCTCTGCAAGTAACATGTGCATGCTCCACCCTATAATCACCAGTGTGTGTTTAAAGCACATCATACCTTTTCATAAGTGATTGTCAGGCCGGTTCTTTATTAGGGATGAGGTTCATCCCTTTTTTTAATTCAAGAGATAGTGTACTTAAATTTAAAATCATACTTTAAATACAATTTTTTTGTGATATTTAAGTTTATACTTGTTTTATGAACGTAATTAGTATATATAATGATTGAATGTATTGAATTTTGTAACAAGAGATCCAACCAGAGGCTTATGAATAGGAGGATCATAAAACTCTTTAAAAGTAAAACCATTCATTCAAGGGATTCAATAGTCAAGCTAATTTTTTTTTTTTTTAAAAAAAGAAGTTAAAGTAATAGGGGAGTACACATAGTAAGGTAGTACTAACCACTATGCCCATAGTCAACGATCCAGAAAAGTTGCATAAATGAAGTTTGAAAAAAAACGATCCAGAAAAGTTGCTAATTTAGGTACTCTTTTATTTTTCTTTTTGTTGCTGATTTGGACACTGTAGACCATATTATCGCATGGGCCGCTAACTAAGTTTGCTAAATCCGTCATTATCCATACAAATTTAATTTTACCATCTAGGAAATAAATTTAATTATTTGGGGTGTGAATTTCTCACGCTATATTTTATAAATACGTAACAAAACATCGTGTACAAAAATGCTAGCTAGGTTGAGACTTGAGAGGGAGGAAGAAGAGAAAGTCATGTTTTTTAGCATTAATATAATTAATTAATTATAGTACTATTCGCGTATATTTTCTCAATTAATTAAAACCAAGAGAGTTATCGCATTTACTATGGTTGAATCTTTGACCTCCATGTGAAAGAGATGCATTCATGTCATCGAATCACAAAGTCTTTCTCTTTGACACAGAGAAAGTGAGGTATCTAGTAAAACACTTCCTCTTTCATTTTTTCCACTTCCAACAAAGCACTTCCTTTTTCTATTAAAAAATCACTTTTACCCTTACTTTTTCTTATCCTACCTATCACATCATACTTTTTCTCTAATAATCTATCCATCACATCTTACTTTTACCCATCCCATCAGGGGCAAAATTGGAAATCAACTATAATTTAACACTTCCTTATCTTTGTCCCAAATCAAAATGGGAAGGGTTTTTCGAAAGGGAGGGAGTAGAAGCAAACAAATAGAGTAGGGGAAGTGCTTAAATAGAGAAATGAACAAACAGCAGCCTCTTAACGTTGAAAAGAACGAAGAAGCTGGCATGATGGCACTCCACTAACTCATCATGTCTCTTCACTCTTGTGTTTGGTCATCATACCATCACTTTGACATCGTCTTTCATGTATTTTAATTTTAATTGTTTTTCCACGTATATATATTCCATATGTCTCCATAATACAAGGAAATTAAAAGATTTTTAATTTTTTTTGACAATAAAAACTCAATTCATCGTTTTAAGAAAAGTAGTATTCGCAATGAAAGCAAATAGAGTGTGATATGTCATTCTAGAGGCCGGATCATACATATATAGAATCGGCTTTTTCTAACCACAAAATGGACAACATGATTAGCAAATGTCATGATAAAACAGAATTTCAAACTATTAAAACATGCTATAGTTTCTTTAATATCGGAAAAATTTTAAAAACAAAAACATGATTTTCTCCCATTTAACGAGGAAAAGATAGAAAATATCATTTTCGTCCCTTATTCCCCGCCCCCTCTGCATCATCTCACCACCTCCACCAGTCCCTCCTTCTACCCACCCCTATACACCCCTATACATTATACCTTTCTTTTCTCTTAAACATTAGGAGTGATTCTCTTAATTATTAAGAGGTCTAAAATGACACTACTCATTTATACACAAATCTCTTACACCACTTCAATTAGAGAACCTAAAATGTTCTGATCATACAATTGATAGTTCATACCCCAAACTCACCCGTATACCAACCCCTAAACCCTTCACCCGCTCACCCTACATCTTCCCCCTTGTTCACTACTCTAATCACCGTACCGTTAAAATTAAAATATATTGGTAATTCAGAAAGGAATTGGAAGGAGTGTGAGGGAAGGAACGAGTGGGGGGNGCTGGGATGGGATTGGGGGTGGTAGAGTTGGGATTTGACACCAATAGCATTGATACCAAAACATACTTAGGGGCTGTTTGTTTCAGTCTCTTAATGGTTCAGATGTCTGAATGATTCAGCACTTTGTTTCAGCCTCTTAATGGTTCAGACATTTGCCTCTGAATGGTTAAGTATTATACAGACTCTGAATGGTTAAGACATCTTATCTGAATTGATCAGACATTCGCTTCTGAATAGTTAAGCAATATACTAGCTCTTAATGGTTCAGACCTCTTACTGGTTCAGCACTTAATGGTTCAGACCTCTTACTGGTTCAGCATTTACCTATTCAGAAGTTGTCAAACAGCCTCTTACTCTATTATTATTATTATTATGAAAAATACACGCAAATGAGATGAAATTTAAAGATGTTGGAGGAAGTTGGAAGAACTAATTTGAAAAACAAGAAGTTAAAAAATACTGAAAGTTTAGAGTACATTTGGCAGTGAGAAAATATGTTTCTATACATTTATTATAAGGGAAAACAATTTTCCCGAAAATTATCCTCCTCCATATTTTATATTGTTTGGTGGGATTGTTTTTTCAAAAAAAAAAATCCATTATTAGGTAGAAGGAGATTTTTTTTATATTAATACATTTTTTATTTGAATAAAAATTAAAGATATTATGATATTAATTTGAAATATTTGGCGAAGCAAAGATTATTTTTATATACGATTGATATTATATCTTCTTTTATAGAATTGATCTCCATTTTCTAGGGTTTGAGGATGGGGTTTCCGGGGAGGGTGGCGGGGGAGTGGACGTGGATGGGTAGAGGAAATGATCGAACTCGAGAAATCATAGTTTTGAGGATTAAATAGAAAAATAAACTTTCATTCAAAAGTTGAAAGTCCTTTTCTCCTATTTGAGAAAATATTTTTTGTAAAAAATTATTTTCTACCACTTATACAATCAAACATAGAAAAGTAGAATTGATTTTTTTTTTTGAAAAATTATTTTTCTCAACTAAACAAATCTTGAGGGTTAGAATATAAAAAATAGAACCTTAAAAAATAGAAAAAATATTACAGATTTGAACAAAATTATGTTTAACCTCGTGCGGGAACATTTTATAATACTAGTAGAAAAATAAATTGAAGAAAAGGGAACATTTGTCCATTAACATTTATAAGAGAAGGTAACATGACATCACTTAGAGCTTGTTCTTCTTGTCTCATTGATTAGATTGATATTGTTGGATATTTGATTAAATAATCAAAAGAAAAAAAGGGAAAGAGAACAAAGAAGATAATAAAAGAGAAA